AGAGAGATGCCCTAAGTGTCTAGTTCTGTATTAGACAAAAATTTCTGTTAACATGCCCATGTTTTTGTGCTGCTTAGTCAGTTATGTTCACTTGTGTTCTGTGGTGATAACTTGTCTTGGAAATGTACATGAAACACAGAATATTCAGCTTTCAGACAGAAGCTTCAATGCTTTCCCTTAGCAGAATACCTACCTACCTACCTGCCTGCCTTCTGCCAGGTGATAGACTTTTTCTTGCATGAGCATGAAACTTATTCAAAATACATGTGGATAAGTTGTAAATGTTGTAAAAATGTCATCCTTTCAGTGGTTCCGGCGAGACAGTCATCAAATGGTGCAGTAGTTGAAGCAAAATCACATGTGGAAAATTGTATTAAAGTTGCTCAGTCCTCATCAGATCCCAGTATTTCCCAGGTAAAGCAGGGTCATGTGCCTTTCAAGTGTTTAAATGAAGGCATGATTTGGGAAGAAAGTGATATTTAAAACAAATCTGCGTGGAAGAAACTCTCTGTAAATAAGAGTGCAGAGTTCTCTGTAAATACTGCTTTGTAAGGCCTGGGATGGGGTATGGATCTCTAATCCACTTTGGCCAGATCAGTTTAACATTGCAGGCTTCCTGTGCATTGTCACTCCACTTGTCAGAGATGATAATTAGGCATCTCCTGCTAATTGCTATGGATTCTCTAAATTGCAGTGTATTTTACTTTGGAAGGGAAGAAGTTTACCCTGAACTACGCTTTGGTTACAGATCAATAGTCTGCTTTAAATTCCTGTTAACAACACACTACCTGGTACATCTGATTTGGCTTTGTTTGTGGTGTTGAACATTTTTTTTTTTTTTAATCTGTAGTTAAATGCAGATGAGGGACAGTGAAGAAATTTGAGTCTGGAATTCAAATTTTCTCAGCTCAGCACTTCTGTGGGAAGTGTTTCGCATGTTTTACCTGTGTGTGTTTGCTTAGAACTGTTACCTAAATGCAGAAAGTTGTGTGCAATCACAAACTGAGGTTACAGGGGTACAGGCTGGTTGTGTGTGCATATGCTGGGGATGCTTTTGCAAGTGGTTAAAATCCCAGGGAATGCTGGGAACTTACTGAACTGGTGAAAATGTATTTTAGTAGTATTTTTAAATGTGTCTTAAATTGCTGAGCTAAGGGTGATGTCTTTTTAATACAATTGGCAAAGAACTGACAGAGATACATGATTTAATTGAGACACTTGGTGAAGCATTTGCAATGGTTTATGACTGAGATGTCACAGTAGTCACATCAGCATTTCATGAAGTATGTTCATGATGCCCTGGGTATTGTGTTTAAAACCAAAGGTTATACCTTTTAAATATTATCAGTAGGAGTGTTTAAAAATATGCTTGTTAAAAGTGTTTCATCCACATAAGAACAGTATAAATTGCTAAATATTGCTAAATTACTTTCAGCTATTAGAATTTTTGTCATTTATTTCCTCTTCATGTAGAAAAAGAGAGAAACCCATTCCCTGTCTGATGATGAGTTGAGCTCTTCCACAAGCTCTACAGACAAGTCTGATGGTGATTCCAAGGAGAGGTAAGTATTTTAATACTGTGCAAGAGTTTTCACTGCTATATTAGACCTTGACTTGGACTGGAAAAAAAGTGGCTTTCATACTTTTGTCTCCACATAGTGATTGAACAAGTATGTGGTGCATTAAGGAAAAGAATTCCATTTAATTATTGTCTTTCTGTGACTGTCTTTCTGTTCCATGCTGAACTTTCTGGATGTAATTTTGTGCCTCTGTTTTTTGTCAGTTGTAGCTTCCCAGAAATCCAGTCTTCCAGCATCATGGGACAAGTACTGTCAAGATGCACTAAAAGCATTAATTAAAAGCTGCCAATGTGCTTCCTTTCCACTGTGAATAAGGCTGAATTTATTTCTGATTTTGTCAGTGTAAGCAGCTTTCCAAAAGCTCCAATTTGTTGCGTTACTGGAGGTGCAGCTACAGAGTTGGCAGCAGCCAGTAGGGTTGTGGATTTTTACAGGCTGACAGGGCTCTGAGCCTTTGTTAGAAGGAATACTGCTGGTGTTGCTATTGATAAAACTGCCCCACAAGTAATTTAACATGGAATACTTACTAGGACCTTACTAAATTTACTGGAAGTACTTGGACTGTAGGGTGGAGGTTGCATCATAAGTTATGACTGACTTACATCTCCTAGGAAAAGCAATGTGAATGAAATGAATGACTTGGTGCAGCTGATGACTTGGACATTGAAAATGGACTCTAAGGAGAACTCTGAGTACTGTGGAACCTCAACTCCAGCCCCAGAGTTTAAACTCCATAAAAAATATCGGGACACTTTGATTTTGCATGGAAAATTGCCTGTTGAATCAGAGGAATTAAACATTGAAGAGATTCCTTCAGGTCTGTTGCTCTGGAATTCCGTGGTAATAATTACTATTATCCCATATTCTTCTGCTGAGTATGAAAATTGTCTATACTGAAAGTAGTTATTACTGCATTGATTTTTAATTGTATTTTATTTTTAATAGATATGTTAACAGTTCCTGACAAGATTAGGAGAATGGTTGAAATCCTGAGATCTGATGTGGTGCAAGGATTGGGAGTGAAACTTCTTGAGGAGGTGTACAGAATCATGGAAGACGACGATGAAGCGAAAAGAGAGGTGAATGTCTTTCACAGTAAAATAGTTTAATTTCTTCATAAGCCTAGAGAAATGAGCAGTGTCTTTACCCTATTGACACAGGGTAAACCTTGATTCCAGACAGTCTTTATGTAGTCCTGGGCAGGCACTGTAATTTTCTATCTTACCCATGCAGTATTTCATTTGTAACCTGTGAAGATCTGATTAATATTTTAAATTGCTGGGTGGGATTTGGAACTCTCTTGCCTTCAGACAACAAAGACTTTCATCTTCCTTTCCTCTTATCTACTCGCCAAGCTTCATGTGCTGCTTTCAGTTGAGTGCCTTGGTATTTTTTTTTTGGTTAATATTTGGTAGTTAATATTTAATATTTTGGTAGTTCCTGCTTTTTGTACATGTCAGTAAGTTTTGTGGGCTTTGTGTTGTGTGTGTTCTGAACAGCTGCAGCTGCGGGAGCACATGGGAGACAAGTACGTGAGTTACAGCGCGAAGGCTCGTCACCTGAAATTCCTTGAAGAAAATGTGAAGCTCTGACCAGAATCTTTTCCTTAGAGAGAAGGACTCTTTTATAGCCCATATGACAGACTGGACCAGCTTACAAAGCACGTTTACCTGTTGATCTCCTTTGCTGGAACAAGGAGGTGAACTTGTAGAAAACGTTAGAGTTTGTAGTAATATTTTTCATGTTGAACTGTGAACCAGACTATCACTTTCTCAGAAAAGAAACTGTTAGTTTAGTTTTTATTCTCTTAATGAAACTTTAAAAAGTTGCTTTTCATAGATGCACATAGGGATGGGTACCAAGTTTTGGATACTAAGGAGAGTCAAAAAAAATTATGTTTTGGTTTTGAATTTCTCATAGCAAAAGGTTTTTGGTATGGTCACATAAATAGAGTAACAAAATCTCTGCCAAGGCTCTGGTGTGATAATGCATCAGATAGTTGTGAAGGCTTAGCAAGAGAAATAATTACTAATTTTTGTAGAACCAAAATGCTGGAAATTGCCAAGCCCAAGTGCTGAAGGGGGTGGTTGTACTGCTTTTAAGGAGAGACTTTGCTTTTGTGTTTTGTTGCTGAGGCAGTCACCAAGGTGGGGGAAAGCATTTGGTAACTGGATAAAGTAAGTCTGGAAATGTTTGAAAGGAATGCAGCCATGGTTACCATGGTCCCAGCTGGAGAAATCCCTTTGCCTTACAAATAGTAATTCCTTTTAGGAATGAAAGTGCCCAAGACCAGAATCACATACAGAAATAGATGTCTTAGCTTTTCCCTTTCTTTGCATCCCGACTGTCCTGCTTACACACCCCCAGGCATTGTTGTGTACCATCCCTAGAGAAAAAGCACATGTTCTTTTTAAAGGATAAAGAAGTCAAATAAATTGAATTTGTAAAATAAAATTCTAAATGAACAACCTGTCTCTCTTCCTGCCTGTAGCTGAAATATTGTGACCTCCAGCACCTGTGAGAGGGGTTTCCGACATGAGTCAGTAGTAAAAGAAAAATGCCATACCTATGGATCCTGTGGCCTCTCATGCACTAGATGCTCAAGTTACAATGTTTCAAGACCTATTGTATTTTGCAGAGTCAAAAGGTTACTTTCTCTTCCCAGGGAAATTTATTTTAAACAAAAAATGCCACTCTTCAGTCTCCTATCCCAGAACAGTTTGCAGTTCTTAGTGATTTTCAGAGCTGTGGGGTACATACTGTTTCACAGTACTTGTTACAAGCTTGTTTTACACATGGTTAGAAATATTTCAGTATAAGTCCAGGTCTGTATTATCTTTTATGCTATAACAGTAGCCTAACTGGACTTGATTTGATTCACTGTGTTCCTTTTTACTAAAATACCTGAGTGAGATGTGACCTCCTCCAGTAGCCTTCTAAAGTTATTTAAGTTTCTGCTGCTAAGAAGATATTGCAAAAGCCAGTACAACTTGTGCTGGAAACCGAAATATTAACTAGAAAAAATGTAAGTTACATAAATTACTGTACAGTGTTTAGACACACAGAATCATAATCATGATGTATTCTGCCAAAGAAGGGGTACCAGCTAATGTGGAGGGGGGGGAACATCCAGTAACTGAATGCTACAGGGAGGACATGGAACAAATTTGTCTAAACTATCAGAGAGGCCAGTCTGATATATTAACTACCTGTGTGAGCAATCTTTTACAGGTGGCTGAGAGATGAATACAGCACAGAAGAATTTCATCAGGTATTTGCTTTACCCTTTGCCCATCCTTGTGTTCCCAGTGACTTCACTGAAGCTCCAGACCAGCTTCAGAGCCTTCATGCTCTCCGCGGGGCTTGGTGGATGGCAGGATACAAAGCACTAATTAAAAAACCAAACAACTAAGCCAAGAAGTATCTCCCAGTGGAAATTCATTTAACAAAATTTAACAAAGTAACAGTGTGAAGAACCGTAATTTTTAGCTTTTGGCGTGTCTCTTTGGCTTTCTGTCTGCTGCCTTCTTGTCTTCCGTGCCCGACTCCTGCACAGGCAGCCACTTGAGGGGGTTGCGGCGGTACATGGGCCACGGAGGGAGCGTCAGCTGGGGGACAAGGGATGGAGTCAGAACAGGTACACTGAGATGCTGAAGAGCTGTTTTGTACAGCTTGTTAGGAAAAATCTTAATCCTTAACTGTTCTATCTAAGAAAACTCACACGATTTCATGCTATAAAGGCACGTGTATTTACAGTTTATACTGCGTGGTCATGACCCCAGGTCATTGCAAGGAGGAGGACAGCAGCCACCCTGAAGAAAAAGGGACTCCCGAGGTGGCACCAGCATCCCAGCACATCCTAACACTGCTATGAGACCCTCCCCTTGCCTGGCATCATGGATCAGTAACTCTGGCCAGAGCAACTCAGGGATGCTCAAGTAAGTAAGGAGCAGATGGATGGTGATGCCAGAGAATTATAGTGGCTTTTCAAAGCAGTTGTGTGTGTGTGTGTGAGTTAAGTAGTGGTTGGTCAAATCCTGTTGTATCTGAACTCTTGAAAAGCATAAGAACCACGTGTAAGACTGGATTCAGTGTGCCCCAATTGGAATGGGACACCTCGTGTGTATGAATAAGGAATTACTCCTCTAATTCCATACTCTGCCTTCTTGCCGCTCTCCTCGGGCAGCATGGGCCAGCTGCAAAATTCTTGTGACAAGCTCCTACTGCACAGGAAGCCTCACTGTCCTTTCTATTACCAATGCTGTCAGCTGGACTTAACAGTAACATTTAACTGAAGTGAAAAATGTACTCAAACCCAATACTTAATTGCAGTGTTCTCTAAAATCCTGCTAGCATTTCAGAAAAAGCACTTACTGGCCTGCAAAGCACTTTGTGCAGATCAAAGGAAGTACAAATATGTATTAACAATCTGAATTACATAGCAAACATTAGTCTGTGCTGACAGCCTCTTAATTTAACTATTATTCCAGGTTAAGTAGTGCATGTACTTTCTAGTCTGCAGACAAAAAATTCTTACCAAACATGATAAAGCAAATCCAGCCATAACTATGTAGACAGTCCATCCAAACTGTTCAGTGATGTATCCATAGATAAAACCAATTACCTGGGAAAAAAGTGTATTAAAAAAATCAAACTCTGAATTAAGAAAAACATTTCCTATGCCATGATTAAACTGGGAGGGGAAGCAGAAGAATACAGGTTTTTTAAAAGCACAGTTCCTCCACCTTTCTAACGTTCTTTTCAAAATTGCTGGCCAATAATGAAAGTAAAACATGGGGAGATGTAAAGTTTTAACGCATGACAGCCCCTCTGATTTTGTCTAAAGCTTTTAATGACCCCAAACAATCAGAAAAAAAATGTTTGTAAAATCAGAAAACAAAATGCTCCTTTTATGTTCTCACCCACAGTTCTAGTATACTTACTGCAGATACAAGAATGATTCCTTGAAAAATCTGTTCTGCTAATTTTTGGCCCTTGTAGTCCTGTGAAAAGAGACGCTTTTTGGTCAGTTATTCAAAACACAAACCTGCCCATTAAACTCCTTCAGGTTAGAGCCCACACTCAGCCTGACCACGGGTTCTCAGCTCTTTTGTTCAATTTTCAAACCAGACTGGAATTACTTTTCTTACAGTGTCTGGGAACACCTACATTTCAGGCTCGACTACACCACCTGGAAACAGAAGCAAGTGCTGCCTGTTCAAGGTAGGTAATGCCAGTTCAAAATATCACTGTAGTCAGCTTAACATCACTAAGAAAAAGCTGTAACACCACGGCAGAGTTTGTGCCTGGGGGGATACAGTGTGTGTGGCACCTAGAGGGGATCTCATTAATGCATGTAAATGTCTCCAAGGCGGGTGCCAAGAGGATGGTGCCAGACTCCTTTCAGTGGTGCCCAGAGACAGGATGAGGAGCAACAGCCATAAACTAAAACACAAGTTCCACCTCAACACGAGGAAGTACCAGTGAGGGTGGCAGAGCCCTGGAACCGGCTGCAGAGGGAGGGTGTGGAGTGTCCCTTTCTGGAGACATTCCAAACCCACCTGGCCTTGTTCCTGTATCACCTGCTCCAGGTGCCCCTGCCTGGGCAGGGGGGTTGGACTGGGTGATCTCCAGAGTTTGCATGACTTTAGAAAACCTGGCTCTTAGCGAGCACGCGTTGCCTTCTGTCTATAGCCCAGGCGCGAAAGCACGGAGGGATGTCCCCTGCACAGCTCTGCATTAGAGCACGTTAAATTTCCGCTTCCCAGCTCATAAACCGGAATTATACGGATTCACCCTGCAGCTCCTACGTGCCTCGCACGCAGGTACCAACCCCGCGAGGGATGCAGGGGACACCCAACCCCACAGGGGACATCCCTCCGCCGCCGTTCCCACGGTGCCGCGGCCCCGGCGGGCCCTACCCACCATCTGCGTGGGGATGGAGCGGAACACGCTCAGCATGGCGGCGGCGCCTCTGCGGCCTCCTCCCGCTGCTGCTCGTCAGGGCGCTGCTGCCCGCGATGCCCGCGAGGCGGGGACCGGGGGGCTCGGCGGCGGCGGCGGCGGCAGCGGAAGGTGGCTTGCTGAGGCTGGCCGGAAACACGCCCGGCCGCCCCGCCCCGAGCCCCGCCGGCCCCGGTGCCGCCTCCCGCCTCGGCATCGCTGCGCCGCCGCGGGGCTGCTCCGCGCGCGCTCCCGTCCAGCCCGTCCCGCCCTCGCCCGGGCGCGTCTCCTCGGCACGGCGCTCGGCCCCGCAGGCCCGCGGCGGAGGCGCCTTCCCCGGCAGGTGCGGCAGCGCGGGGGGCGCGGCTGGCGGCGGCCGGGCGGGCACAGCCGCGGCTCTGGGGGTGCCGCGGTGGCGGCGCGGGCGGGCGGCCGTGAGGGGGCGAGGGAGCCGCGGCTGTGCCCGCCCAGGGGCCCGGGGAGCGGGTGTGGGCCCCGCGCGGTGTGTGTTTCACTGCGGGCTGTGCGGGCTCGGACCGTGCCCTGCGGGGGGAGTCGCTCTGTCGGTGCCTCCAGCCCCGGCTGCCGCGTGTCAGATTCACAGATTCAACCGGGGTTTCCTCTGAGATCGTCGAGTCCAGCCTTTGACCTGACACCGCCTCGTCTACCAAACCACGGCACTGAGTGTCGTGTCCAGTCTCTTCTTAAACACCTCCAGGGACGGTGACTGTACGACCTCCCTGGGCAGCTGATTCCAATGTCTGATCACTCACTCTGTGAAGAATTTCTTCCTAATGTCCAACCTATACCTCTCCTGGTGCAGCTTAAGACTGTGCCTTCTTGTCCTATCGCTGGTTACCTGGAGAAGAGCCCGACCCCCATCTGGTTACATCCTCCTGTCAGGGAGTTGTAGAGAGTGATGAGGTCTCCCCTGAGCCCCCTCCTCTCCAGGCTGAACACCCCCGGTTCCCTCAGCCGCCGCTCAAAGGCACGGGCTGTGTCCGCAAAGTGCTTCGTTCCCCAGCGAGACGTGGCGTTGTGCTCTGTAAGCAAAGCCCCGTGTCCCACCCCGTGCCAGCGGTGCGGGGGTGCTGGAGGACAGGGCTCCCGGCTGGGGTTCACTGTGCTCCGCAAATGCATCTACTCTGGGGGAGAAATGCAGCAGCGAGAGAAGGTGGTTGGGTCTGACGCGTGGAACGGTCACAGCGCAGCCTGGGGTGTTTTAATAGGGAGATTTCACAAGTCTGTCACCGTTTCTGGAATTTTGCATGTTGTTGCAGTGCTTTCTATGTGTTATTTGAGAGCTCTTTCACACTCCAGGATACGCAGCTCTTGTTCTGATTTCATAGTCTCCTTTACCCTTGAATAATGAACAAGTTTGAATTTCTTACCAAAATTGTATCAGTGTTGTGTTTTTACCCCCTTCTATAACATGATGGTAATACCTTCTTGCCTGCTTTTGTGGTTTTTTTTTTTGTGTGTGACAATGCTCTAGCTGATATTCTGTTATATTCTATCTAGAGACTTTCATGGTTTGGAAAGTGCTGTTTGTTAAAATCTTATAAACCAGTGTCCTGCCAGAATCTTGCAGTTGGTTAAGCATGGAAGGAAATTATAACGATTTATCTTATTGTTTAGATCCTTCCAGTTCAGATAGTTAAATAAATTGTTTCAACAGTAAAGAAACCCCACTAATTTTCCAGATCTTTTCAGATCATTCTGACTGGTGGAAGGAGTTTGGCGGGTTTTTTTCTGTCAGTGAAGAAGTGGCAATATCTGTATGTCTCCTTTTTACCTCCAAGTTCTTCTTTAGATAAGTCATTGTATGTGGGGAGAGTCCCCAACATAAGAAGGATTTGGACCTGTTGGAGCAGATCCAGAGTAGGGCCATAAAGATGCTCTGAGGGCTGGGAGAGTGGGGATTGTTCACCTGGAGAAGAGAAGGCTCTGGGGAGACCTGAGACCCCCTTCCAGTGCCTAAAGGGGCTCCAGGAGAGCTGGAGAGGGACTTTGGACAGGGGTGTGGAGTGACAGGATGAAGGAGAATGGCTTTAAACTGACAGAGAGCAGGGTTAGACGGGATATTGGGAAGGAATTCTTGGCTGTGAGGGTGGTGAGGCCCTGGCACAGGTTGCCCAGAGAAGCTGTGGCTGCCCCATCCCTGGAAGTGTTCCAGGTTCAGGTTAGGCAGGGCTTGGAGGAATGTGGTCTAGTGGAAGGTGTCCCTGCCCATGGCAGGGGGTTGGAATGAGATGAGCTTTAATGTCCCTTTCAACGCAAACCATTCTAGGATTGTAGCTATGTATGTACTGAGGTACCACACTCAGTTATTAAAATGTGGCATAGCTTTACCTTTTTTTAGAGAAGGACATGGTCACTGCATTCAGAAACTGTTTTGACACTCCTGGTGATGGTACCTATGTCTTGTGTAGGCATACACTGGAAGTAGGAAGTGACTGCTGTATTTTTTTCTTGCAGGTTTTCAGGAACCTTATGCTCATAAATAAAACAATAGAAAAATGACATTAAGGAAAGGTATGTGTATATGTGTGTGTGTCTAATTTTTTTTAAAGTATCTTTTGTATCTGAGTTTCTTTTTCTCTGCTTATGCTGATGAACTTTTTTCTCTGAAATTTTCAGTGAACATTTCCATCCTTATTGTGGCTGTTGTAATATTTTTGCTAGTTCTTCATCATAACTTCCTAAGCCTCAGTGACTTCTTGAAACGGGAGTTATCAGGTATGTTGGGTTTTATTTTAATTTTGAAAAAAATGTTGTTCTTTTTAAGATTGGTGGGAAAGCACATGCTCTGACCAGAGAGTGGTTTGGGTAAGTGGGAGGGGACCCTCTGTAGCTCAGCCTTATTTTAGTTCCTTGTGCTGTGTGTGAATATGTGTGGCTAAATGTGGGTAGTTTTTTGTAGTTGTGATGTTCTTCTATTCATTCACATCTCAGATTCTCAAAAGCAGGTGCTCTGTTTTCAGTGTTTGATGCTGGCAGGCTGTGGTCATGTTGAGACATCCAAGTGCTTGCATAGCAGAAATAACTGAAGGTGTTGGGAATTCTAGTGCGGTTATAATAATGTGTAATAATAAAACCAAGTATGTGATGCCATTTGTACTCCACAGATTCAAGTCCCTTAGGACTTCAGCCTATAGATTTCATTCCTGCAGCTCCCCAGAGGCTGATAGATGAGAGGAATGATAAGGAGATTTCTGTGGTCATTGCAGCGTCAGATGAGAGGCTTGGGGGTGCAATTGCAGCCATGAACAGCATTTACCATCACACCAGATCCAACGTGGTTTTCCATATTGTTACTCTGAATGATACAGTGGATCACTTGAGGTAATGATCTTTTCATTGGATTCCCACAACACTGTAAACTTCAGTATCTCTGAGAAGAGAGCTGCCTTTCCCCGGAGCTGCTCTCCTCTGACTTGCAGTCCTGCCTGCTGCTGCTTATTGCAGCTTTTTGGCAAGGCTGCTGTGGGGAGTCCTACAGCTATTCCTTCTGGAGAAGTTTCAGGGATGGAAAAGAGCCATCTTTTCCAACAGGGTTATATCCAACCAATGGAACTGGTGTTCGCTGGTGGAAGGGTTGTTGATGTTACTTATACATTTCATCAAGCAATTCAAATACTGTCAGTCAGGTTTCTCCATTTTCATAGATTGTTCTTTGATCCTTTTATTTTTACCCACCTCTGTCCACGCTGATGTTTTTTGTGAAGGACCTGTGATAACAGGACTGTGTATTTCTAATAAAACAAGAGGCAAGCTCATACCTTTCACGTGTCCCAGGTGAGCAGTGTGCTGGCACTGGGCATGTCCCTGCAGCCACACAGGACACCGCTGGCCTCAGCCAGAAATGACATCCCAGATATGTGTTTGTGGGTAGGGAAGTGAGGGGGGCACATCAAGATCTGGGGCGCTGTCAGTCAGATCTCTTGCTTTTCATTTGATTTTTGTCTCATTAACAAGATCTGTGCCTTTCCCCTGTTTGCAGGCTGTGGCTAAGTGGCACTGCCCTGAAAAACATGAGATACCGAATTTTGGATTTTGACCCTCGTGTCTTAGAAGGGAAAGTACAAGTGGATCCCCAAAAAGCAGACACCTTCAAACCAGTGAGGATGCTGTTGATTACTTTTTGCAATTATTAGTTAATAGCAATATATTTTGATGTTGGCTTTTAACACAACTAGATATCAAAACCACATCTGTTAGCACAGCAGTCTTTTATAATAAAATTCCTAAATCTCAGTAAAAATAAATTTCCAGCTAGTGAGAGATGCATTTGAATGTCTACATATACATGCTTAGTATCATTTTTTGCTGCTAGCTACAGTGAAACACAGCATGCCAACACCTTGGAGATACTACAGATACATGTGGAAATAAGAAATTCTAATACAGACAAATTTTAAAGTTAGTTTATCAATACATAAATTCATAGGAAATCAAGAATTGATGGAACTTGTTTATTTTAAATGACTTGTAGGATATTGCTGCCTATTTTATTTCCTTTACAGAAGTTGTCTTGGACATTAGTGCCATAGATAAGTGCAGGAGAATCAGTCCATTTCACATTTATTTGGACAATTTTTCATTTAATTCTTCACTTCTCTTGCTTTCTTGTTCTCACAGTTAACCTTTGCAAGATTCTACTTGCCCAACTTGGTACCTCATGCAGAGAAGGTCATCTATGTGGATGATGATGTAATAGTGCAAGGTATGGCATCTTTGTTAGCTGCCACTGGCCTTATGCTGAGGGCAGTATCCCATCTCTCAGAGCCCAAACACTTCGAGGAAAGATGTCCAAACTTTGTAAATATGAATGAGTTGGGTTAAACTGAATGGTTTTGTTCAACAGTGGCCTGAACAGAGTGTAACTTGGCACTTAGTCAGGATTGCTTTTGATTTTTCTCTGCCTACTTCCATTTTCCAGATGATATTCTTGAACTTTACAACACTCCATTGAAACCTGGACATGCAGCTGCATTTTCAGATGATTGTGACTCAACCACTAGCAAAGTTGCTGTCCGTGGAGCAGGCAATCAGGTTAGTTTTATTCTGATCCAGTAGGAACAATACCA